TGTGATGTGGATTTTCAGAGCAGGCAATGGGTGATGTGATGTGGATTTTCAGTGTGGGATCCAGGAGCTCCAGGGCTCTGGGAACAGATGTGGCTCCTGCCCCGCTGCGTTGGGAGCCCGGTTCTGCTTTTCCTGTAGCAGAGAAGTTAAAGCTTTGGGGAGTTGTACATSAAAGGCACGACTGAGGGATCCTTGTATGTTTGTAAGGCATTGTTTAAAGAGGAATTCCTTCCATTTGTTGTCACTAGTTTTTTTCCTTCCATTCTTCAAGATCTCCTCACAGATCTGCTCCACTGAAGTCAGTGTGTCCAGCTGATTTCAGTGTATGCTTTGAACCCAACTTCCTATCTCAGGGAAASCATGAGCTACAGGATGTGACATAAATTAATGATACAGGAAAAAAGATCAGTGAATGAAATTACTTCAATTATATTTTCAAAATGTGCTGCTATGTTAGAGTGGACAAAGCACAATATGTTGCAAAACCAACTGTCATTTCAAAATCAAATTCAGAAATACTGGATGTTGATAACGTTGGAATGAAGATTTATTTTTGTATTTTAGTGTATTTAGGCTTTTGGAGAACACGTATTTGTTGCAAAATGCTCAGCATTAATAAATCAGCTGCTCAGAAATTCTTCAGTCTCTTCCCATCTTTGCTCCATCATTTCCCAGGGGGCTCAGCCCTGCAGCATCCTCGGGAGCTAACGAGGAGCAGCCACATCTGGAGCAGAGCCCACACCGTGCTGGTCCTTTCTTCCCTGAGCAGCACCTCTGTCCCTTCCCCTCTCCACCAGTGCTTCAGTCTTTCATCATCTGCATGTGCCTGCCTTCTCTCCTCCTCTCCAGTGATCCCGTCCTCTCACTCTCTAATCTGCCCACACACAGCTTTCTGTGCTGCTGCCCGCTACCTGCCACTGCTTTGAGCTTTTTTTTTTTTTGCTCCACAGAAAGGAAAAGATGTTTCAAAACTTGTGTTTTATCTTTCTTTTTGGGTAAAGACTGTGGTAAGAAACAGAGGTTCAAAGTTCTGAGCTRCCAAAGGTGCTGATGAACACAGGAGACTGTTGAGAAGAGACTGCCAGTTCTGAGCAGGTGCCCTAAACTTAAAAATACTCTTTTGTTGAAGACAAGCATTGTTTGGTTCTGTCTTGTATATTTGTTATTTTTTTTATTTCTTTTATCTGAGACTAATGTCTGTGGGAAATAAAAAACAGGAAAGGGACAAAGAACATTTGATCAATGGATAAAACAGGGGGRAAACCCCCCCACCTTTCACTCCAAAGCTTTTAGCCTGAGGAGAGGTTTGTATGCCTCAAAGCTCGCAAGTTTTTGCCAGTTCTACCCAGCTGGTCTGACAGAAATGCTGCCTGCCCTCAGCCTGTCTTTCTCACATCCTGAGCTGCTCCCAGCTAGAGCTGTGCTGACAATTGCATTACAAAGGACACTGCTTTGGACTCTCTGTGGCTCCACAAACAAATTCCAAACCCGGCCTGTGATCACTGCAATAATTTGATAACATTAGAGCCATGGTATTGACATCGGGAGCGGTGATATTCTTTCCGTGGCACCTTTCCCACAGTACAAACCACTGCTCAGCGTTTGGGAAGTGTCTCACAAAACCCAGGCTGTGCTCTTGCAGGGGACTCGGCTTTGCCTTTGTTTCAGTCCCGCTGCTGAGATAGCAACATAAAGACTGCACCAAATTTTATGTTTCTTTTCACACTCGGTAATAG